TTACAAAAGGGAAAAATTCGAAAACATCCGTGATAAAATGGCACTGCGCATTTGCATACGAAAATTAGAAAAATTCCTAGGCCATAAATCCTCTGCTACAACTATGAAGTTTGATAGTTAAAGAATTCAAGAAGTCAGTTAATAACCGCATTATCTCCAATTACTACGTCGTTGGTTGCAAAAGTGGATATGTTATAGTAGTCACTGCCCTTTCGTCTATAGGACAGTTACAATCACTACCGCTTGCTAGTGTCTAATATGCAGCCGTTTTGTCTATACTGTATGGTGTTCATTTCCGGTACAGCCACAGTTTGTGCAACTTACGCATTCCTGGTGCTTTTGGTGAAATACGTCGTGGGAGGAACCACAGTGTCAAATCCTTACAGTCGGGAATAAAGCTGTGGCTTTCCAGTGATTTTAATAGGCTCCTTGTTGCGTCACATACACCCAAAAATGACTGAATTTATATCTACTTGATTATCGCCTCAACATTAACAAATGTTATTGAACTTTGCCACATGAACGCACGCGGCGAGTAGGCCATCGATGAAGCTGTTAGCTTCGATTCGCAAATATCATCACTACAGTATGGGTCTGTCTGATTATACAGGAACAAACACCACCTGTGCTTTGGTGGATTCTCAATAAATGGCCGCTAGATACGAACTTGGAATGGTCTGCACCAGGGAACTGGATTACCACAGTGGCAATTACGTGCCCGAATTTTTGCACACGTCCCATTTAGAATCTGGTTTGGCAAAATATTTGTACGTTTTGTACGATGTGGACTGAAACGGAAACTGCTATTGGTAGCTATCTGAGCCGTTACGGCAAATATTATCCTCCAACACTGAAGGAGTTCAAAAGGGATATATTTTGATCATCAAATCAATGGATTTCATTCGTGAGTCAAGACAGTAGAGGAAAATTTTATAGCAAATTCATGGATTTAGCAGCATTCGATTGCAAAATTGCACGGACATTACCTTCAAAACTTTAGTCGCGTAAAGTAAATAAACAGAAGGTGCTGCAAAGCATCTGCGTTGTTTTTCTCGTTATGCCAAATAAGGCAAACTATCATTGGTTGATAGCCCAGATATCCCAAGTAAATTCATCGCAGTTGACACAATCAGCGCCACAAGCATTGCCTTTTCAGGTGTTAGCATAGCTATCAGTAAAGCGTCCAGTCGGTGGACACTGACGGAAGCGTTGTTCACGGAACACAATATATAGCAGATGATTTATACTTTCAAGCTTTCTATTTAACACAGCGCTACGACAGGATATGCCTGAGCGCTCAAAATTGGTTAAAATTAAAAAGTAGCAAACTTCCGTGTAATCACTTCTAAAAGTGTCTTGTAATCAGTCGCATAGTAAACGTGCTCCAGCCTGTCACAGATTTTCTTGTCTTTCACTTCACCAAGCACGGTCATCATACATTCATTTTAATCGTACCAACTCCCCGGGTTCATTGGACATATGTTTACGAAAATAATTTCCTACCGAAAATGATTTGTGCTACCCAAGTTGCTTTAACGGGTTTTGTGCTTCTATCTGCACGCGCCACCCAGTTATTTTAACAGTTTACGCTGCTGCGGCACTGAGATCGATCAAGGATACTCCGCGCTATCTGGTGGTCCTGGAATTACATCCATGAGATCATTCCTAACGAAGCAACGACTCAATCTGTGGTTTCAAGTACATTTGCTCAACGCCGGTGATTGTGGCTATTATCCACCCAAAACAAGCAAATTCCAACGGGGTTGTCTTACAGGAAACAGTGTAGATCAAGAAGCTGGACAAACTCCGTGTACGTGTGTCCTCGTCGTGACACAATTATCTACGGTAAACGATGTTGAGCGTGCGACTGGAACAAAGCACGCAAGCGTCACTTGCTCTCTTCCTTACGTGACCAGATAAAACAGCGTTTGTTTGCAACAATGGCTCTAAATTTAATTGATTCAGTATAACCTCAAATGTAGTAAGCAGCGTTGTGTACGAGTAGTCAAAATAGACAATATTTGTTTATTTTGCGGCCTTCTGTTTTACCCCCACTCTGCTGGCTTAAGTCAGCTAAATGTAGGAAATAAATCTACCTGAGTGATACGCCCTAGTCTTGCCAAAAATGCAGAGCAATCCAAATAGTCAGTTGTATCATATCGCTCTTGAAACTTTTAAAAAGCCGACTGAAACAGCCCAGTAGATATTTAGCTAAAGGGCTTTACCATTAGAATCTAACAATAATGATCTTGTTCTACTGAAAGCTCCTCAGAGCTCTGTTCCTAAGTCGAAGCCTAAAGTCAGTCTTACTAACCACCCAATGGCATCTGCGCCACCTACTCCAACAATTACTAACTATGTAATTAGGAAGCTCAAATCCGGCAATTAACTCATCCCTAGATGCCATATCTCAATAGTTTGTCACAAAACTGACAGTCCAGAGCCGATTAAACTACGCATCGATCGTCTCGATAAAGTGCCCAAAGAGACTACCGTACGTCATTTTTTGACCAAGCACGAGCAATGCAACACCGCTTTTACAACATTCTTTAGTGCCCGCTAAGCAATCCAAGTTCCCAGCCAAAACAAACTGACGTTTACTAAACAGAACCGCAGTGCATTCCTGAGTGCAGATCTGGCACAAAGGACATTCACTACCCTGGTAACGCACGCGTTTAAGCAGAAATCCTTCCATCGTCAAAGATGATGCGACATTTTTGTGGAGCAGGACACGCAAATGCATGTATTTGAGGAATTTAGCATCGAGTGCTTACAAGGACTTCCGGAATCCCAAAACCTGGACTGCCTATGTGGCACAGAGTAACTTCTGTATGCGTTTGCTCCGCGAGAAAATGGTAACGCATCAGTAGGAGTTAATGAAGAGATACTGCATGAACCGCAAACTCTTATACAGGCATGTTAATAGCCTTCCTAAGGTGCAACGTGGAATTCCAGCACTGGTCAAGAATGGAGCGTGCACGCGATCGGCAACGGAAGCAAACGACATCTTACTGTTCCATAAGCCACCAACGTTTCAGAGAGTAACGGGTCCAACAGTTTTCCCTGTTTCTAGTATCTCACCATCAGCTTTATCCAACATGATATTCACTGTAGAAACGCTGCAAAGGAAACTGTTGCCTCTGAGTATTCACAGCACTTATGTTGTCCATAACATTCGACCGAAGGCTGTGCAGGGAGCAGCTAAGGATCCGGTAAAACTTTGCCTATATTCTATCAGCACTGTATGGAGCAGAACCATATCCCAGCAGTATGGAAGAGAGGTTATATCACTCCTTTTCATAAGGTAGGTAGTTGCACTGACACAAATAATTACCATTCAATAACGATACTCCCGGGACTTTCCATGGCTTCCGAAAAAACGCTCAAGCACTACAAACCTGCTAATTGCACGCAATAGCTGGACTGAAGCAGTTGATGGTGGAGCAGGAGTCAGTGCCTTTACTTACACTTCTCAAAAGCATTCTATCACTTAGACCAGCAAATTCTCCTTCATAAACTAGAGCTCTACGGCACTTGTGGCCCACTGCTGCGTTAGATAGACAAATTCCTGCACAAAACTTGGTTGGATTTGAGAGTAAGATAATCCCAGTCCGACGCAATTTATAGTGCGGCGTACCACGAGGCTTGGTGCTCGGGCCCAAGCTATTTTTGAGTTTCATAGGCGATCTGGCAAGGAAAATTACTTCCGGTTTCCTGTTCTCCGTGGATGATATCGAGTTATGGCGAGCGAGCAGAGAATCGAACGACTACGGAGGCTCCAGCTTGGCCTCAACACGACTTTAAACTGGTTAGTTCTGAATGCAATAGTGTTAAACGTGAAAAATTGTCACCCTGTTCCATTTCACCGTAGGTATGACTACGTATATAGACTTGGGTCACATGTATTACAAACAACTTCCCAAGAACGCGACCTTCGTATGCTCATTCAAAGTGACCTTAACTGTTCAAGGCAGCTAGAGGCAGCTGCCAAAAGAGCCAACCAACACGTCGGCTTGTTGCGAACAGCATTCGCAAGATGCGACCCATCCACCTTACTCTTGATGCACAATGCTCATGTGCGCCCTCACGTTGAATACGTCATGCAAGCTTGGCAACCTTGGTTGAAGCGCGATTTAGAAGTGCCTGAGAAACCACTACGCAGGGCCACAAAGAACGTCAAGGGCCTACGAAATCTGTCCTACCAGCAAAGGCTGAATTCACTGGGAGTTTTCAGTGGCCGCTACCGAAGGCTGCGCGGCGATCTCATATTAGTCTGCCAAATATTGAGTGACACTAATCACATATGCCGTCACTTGCTGAAACTCAGCCATAACACCAATCTCAGAAGTAACCGTCTGAAATTATGTACACAGTGTAGCCGCCTGGAATGCCGGGGGAACTATTTTCCTCTTCGGGTTTTCAAACCCTGGAACTTTCTCCCAAACTTTATTGTCTCCTCCCACAACTTGGGTCATTTCAAGAAACGATTGGGACTTGCCCCTGGCCCCAATCACTTCGTCGCCTATACTGCGCTAGTTTAGAATATACTAATTATCCCATCAAGCCGGATTAAGATTTCACAGTAATCTGAGGAGGCTGTACAGATGTTAGTATTCTCGTTATTGTTTTCCTCACGGAGTACATGAAATATTACCGTCCCCATGTTGCCTCGCCGTTCGCATTCAATTCCCAGGTACACTGTTATTATCTAGCAGCGCATATGCTAGATAAACGCTCAAACAGACAAAGCACACATCGTTTGACATTGTAAACCTACTTGCACTATTCTGCGACACTTGTCAAGCAAATGCTTTTTACACGGCATAAAGGATTGCTCATTGTTCAAATGCCCTGGTAATACAAAAGTGCTTAGCATTCACGCCACTTTGAGGAATCGAAATCAACAAATGAATTTTAAATAAACCATAATGTTGTTAATTATAGCGAATAAACTTGTTAGTAATTCTGCGAAACTTGAAGGAGTTTAATGGATTCTTTTATCAGTGACCTAAACAGTCCGTAATCACATAGCAATGTTTTCGGCCTAGTACCAGAATATACAATGTGGATTATGTACAACTTACCTGTAGAATAATTTCCTTTGAATCCCCAAACCTCAGCTCCATTTTGAACAGTCAGCAATGCTGTGATACTGTTTCCAGGCGAAGTGTATGGATATATATATGAGCGATACACGTATCCGATCCATCGGGACATACAATCGGGGCCGTCGAACACAAAGATGGCCATGTCGTAATACTTAGACTAGAAGAGAAACAAACGAATGACAGCTTCAATTTGCTTAAGAATCACATCACTTATTTCGTATTAAATATGTGAGTTGTTCTGTTAAAAAGTAAGCAGTCGCACACTTCACCACCGACCGCAACGAAATAAACCATCTCACCGGCTACGCTGAACAAATTTTAGCGAGCTTACTCTGGGTATTATGATGGGCGTGTCATACATTTTCTTCATGGAAAAACCAGCCAACTAAACTTACTTTAAACTCAGGGAAGCTCAGAGCAACTTGATTGTTGGAGGGAACCGTAATCTGATAATTGCAGAATTTGTAACCATGATCATTGTCCGGGTACATTGGGTTGTGAATTGTTCCCTCGTTTGTGCCGTTGTGGATTTCGTTGCAGGTTAGATCTGCCTTTCTATCTACAACACAAAAACAATAATTAAATACAGAGTTCACAGGTTAGTTTCTAAGGAACAATTTGCCCCGTTCTTTCGTAAGGATTTAAACCGTTTAACTTAACAATTATATTATTGTTACCACCAGCAATAATGTGGCTGCTGTACGCCGTAACTGTTCTTTGCTCCCGCCTGACCACCACCAGTCGAAAGCGCGCTGAGTATACTGCGATGACGCCTACACCTACGCGGATTCGAACCGGGGACATTATGGTTGCAAATCTGGTGTGCAGATTATTCGGCCACCGGCTTACTGTTGGGTTTCGAACTAGCTGTCTTGTGAACAGTTGGTGACGTGCAATCCCAGCAATAGCATTGGCCGAGTATTTCTTTACTGTGGATTGTTGGTCTAATTCAAATTGCATGCTTCCATCGAAGTACACCTTGGTGATTACAAACTCCAACGATGAAGTTCCAACGACTGTTCAAGGGTTGGTTTTGAGGTGTAGTGGCCTACTAACTACCGTCCAGTTTAACGTCAAGTCAGTTAATAACCGATGGAGGAGTGAAGATATCATAACTTCTTGAGGACGGAAGCGTTCGCGCCGCGTTTCGGTGTACTACTGAAGAAACTTCGGAGGACATCCCAATCGCACTTGGCTCCCGAGCATGCTGTCTCTGCCCGTTGAGGACACATAAGTTCAAACCCGGTCTTAGAGTGCAGTGTTCTCGGGTTCGTATCGTTTAATTTCTAACCTGTCGTTTTCTTCGGTAAGCAAAGGTTAGCCTAGCAACACAAAGATTCTTCAGGCCACATGAATCAGCAGATGACTGCGGTAACATTTACGTAAGCCAGGAATATAATATTGACGGTTGTGGTGTAAATAACAGCAACCTAGATAGAGAAAATTTTGCGGAATATTCTTCAGAGTGCACAGACACAAACATGTTCGATATGGGCAGTTCACAGTTCCCCGTTTGTTTATGTCTCATGGAGTCTTATGGCCAGCCTGTGCAATGTGAAACGGTGCGTTGTGTAGTGCATACAATACACCAGTGTGCATTATGCGTACAAAGCCAAACAGGCTTATACTACGCAGACAACTTGAGCTGGTTAATTTAACTTATGAATGCGATAGACACTTGTGAGGATTACGAAAATGTGAGTTCTGTTGTATGTTCTAATTTTACCACATGGGAAAGCAAAACATTTGCAGCACACTAGAGGTAAGCCGAGCTTCGGAACTGCACGGTTTGCTGTCAAGTGGTTGATATTACCAATCAAAGTTTCGACTATCGAAACGCCGAGAAAATTCGTGGTCACATGGATTGAAATGCACAAACGGCTCATTCGCGTGACAAGCTGTGACCGAATTTGAAGGACGCCGTGTATGAGAAAAATAGATGAACACAATTTGGTCAAATATAGTCAACTGTGCAACGCATGTATCCGTGTTCATAGTTATCACTTCCCCCTAACCCTTCTAAATTTATCTCAGGAATATCTGTGACAGGGTTACGCGATAATTTCAAGTAAGAAACATTGACTTGTGCAGTAGCGTAAAACAATAGTTCTCTTTTACTTATTTCTTGTCTCACATTCCCCTACAGGTTTGACCAGTTCTACGATAAAAGTGCGAGGCTTTCAACCTTGCAGACAAGCAAGTCTTATCCCAATCGTTAGAAATGTTACTGTGCGGTTAAATACCATTGTTGATAGCCGTAAACAAATGTGCATACTGAATAAAAGTAAAGTTTCCCGTCTTTCAATTTTTTCGTTAAATACTTCAAGATAAACACCTAGAGATGGATAAACACAGCCTGGGTGACTCACCTGCATGTTCTCCCGACTCACAGAGAATTAGGTTGGCCATCATAAATACTGCAAGCATTTCAGGTAAGTATTCCAGGTTCATATTTGTTCACCATGAAAAGGAAGGAAAGCAATAGCTTGTTTTATTTCTTTCAAAACTCGACCTTGACACCGGCTGACTACACCACCGCCATTAGTGGTATGTATGGATTGTAACACAGCGACATCTCCCTTCCAATGCTATAGGTTGCTCACTAAACAGCCAATGTCAATAGGGAGCTCGTATGTCTAGCTAAGTAACGGCATGTCTGGACAATCATGGAACATTATCACATAGGAACAATAAAGAAATAGCATATCACTGGAACAAGTCAAATGTTGACAAGACGTAGGACCGTTTATGGGAACTTGGCCAGTACAATTAAGATTTGCCAGTTTACTAAACTGTGCATCTGTATGCTCGGCGTGTTGTTTACGTTAGCACATAGACTAACCGCCTACATGAATTTCGTGGAGGCGTGCTGGTGAGCACACAGTTGATTTGCTTTTTTCGGCAACGAAAGAATGAGTGAGGTCACATGGTGCAAATGGGACAGGGCATATTCCGGTTGTTTTTTAGCAATCTTTAACATGGACAAGAAAATGACTCAAGTCGGATTTTCGTCTCACAACTGAGAAAACCGATTTAGAGGACGTTTTTACAACATTCCAAATGACTGCTTTTCCGGCCAGCGTCAGTCTAAGACCCCATAGTTTTTATGACCAATGGTCCCGTGATGACGGAAAAGAAGACTGCGGTTTTCAAAAGCTAATAGGGGGGCATGAGGGTTCTGTTAGGTGGCGATAACTTCCGCTGTACACTCATATTGCTTTCAGTCACATTTGCTTTGGTAAGTGGAAATGGTGGTTTCTATTTCAGTTGCTCTTCCCTGTGAAGTCTTCAGTGCAACCATATGGAGTTTTAGCTAGCATTGCCAGACTTGAATTTCTTGCTGAACTAGCGGACTCATGCTCACACTGAGCAATGTAAGCAGATGTGGAAGGTTAGACTGTATGTACGACATCCGTAACAGGCCAAGATGCTGGATCATGGTTTTGACACCTTAGTGCATTATTTCGAAATGATGGGGTCATTTTGAATTAGTACACAGTGGTTTCACTCCTGTGAGGTGGCGTTCAAGATGTGTTCTCCCAGCCTGTGTGTGTCATTTGACTAATGCCGCTTGCACTATTCCGTTTTAGGCGGTAGCACATTTGACTTTGATCACTCTTGTCCACGGTCCAAGTCTCGTTGTAGTGGATTGTGTTGTTCCCGATGACGGATCATCCGCCATCTTTTGATGCCATAGGCGAAAGTTAAAATGTTAGATCGATGACAAGTGAGAGGCGAAGATCAAAAAGAAACGTCGCCCCAGCACTGATACTTGTGAAATACCGCGGTCCACCTCAAGTGCATTGGATAATAAGCCCTGAACCCGACCCTCCAAATTCCACTTGCAGCGCTGCCGCGTTGTCATAGCGAAGCTGTTACAGAACAAAGAGGACTGACTTCCCACAAATAAGTGGTGTTGGGAGACTATGCTAATTAAACAATAGAAAGCATGCTAACAAAAGCTTATGCATGTTCATGTGCCATGATAGCCGTCAATAACCGATCCGCGGTGCCAAGTTGCGCCTGAGGAAGGTACGAGAAAATGCTCAAAATAGGTATTTCTTGTGGAAATTGCCACACTTGTTTTCGTAAAAATGGCCGGAAAATCAAACCTAGAGAATGCAGGTTAATTAGCAGTTGGCCAGACTCATTTCTGTACTGTGCGATGTGTGACACTGTTTCACTAGTTGAAACCGTAATTACGCGGTTCCAGAATTATGATGGGATTGCAGACGTAGTTGAGGTAATTGGCCACCAAAATATCCTCCATAGGAACAGGCATAACAAAATGTCTGCCACAGCCCCATCCACCGAACTCCAGTACAAGCCCAGGCCACAATGCCAAATGTTATACTAATAAAGTCGCGTCTGCAAACACTGCCAAATACCAGAGATAGTTGGGCCGTTGTTTCATCAATGTGAACGATAAAATCAGTCCCCACTGATGCTATTACCACAACCATAAATTATGTGAAATGTCACACTGCATGGAAGAAGGGCAAAGCACTCGGGCTCCTAACTACGGTCCACACTCTCAGAAAGGCACTCAGAAATATTTGTTCAGAGGAAAAGCAGGTGGATGACCTGAACCAACGGTATACCATATGTAACCTCCTCGGTATTTTGTCTAAATGCTTCAAATTGACAAGGATCACCATTCACCGGAATTTCAAACATTTCAGCGAAGTCAGGCAATTTGCATTGCGCTAAACTCTGTTTCTGAGTTAGAAAAATCTCTGCTTTTCAACTCTCGTCTCCAAAACGAATTCGGTTTGGACAGCGCCTTTCTAGTCGTTCTTTAAGGAGAGCGCAAGCTGTCCAGCCTCAGCGCAGCAGTGTTCCGGCTAAACCCCCCATCCAGAACCGTATTTTTCACGGCGTCGCCCAGTCTCGTGAGAAGAATGAATGCGAATCAAGGTCTTACCATCAGAAACAGTGGCGCTCATTTCGTGAGATCTGCTCTGGAATAACGTTGTTGCTACTTCGATGTCGAAGCTGTCAATTTTATAAAGCTACAAGGCATGTGGCCAAAGGGTAGTTATGGTTGTGCTACAAACCTGGCAGATGCAACTTACGCTGCTGTAAGCTAGCATTCCCTTCGGAACACACTGCTAACCGAGCTCCGGTTCAAAGCGGCGAGCGAAACTGTCGCCGGACTTAAAGCACCATCACAGCAAGCAAACTATTTGGTGATCTTATCCGAAATTACCACCGGAAGCAGGTCTGAATGAGGTGAGTATCGTCCTGTGCAATCCTGCAGCTACTTCCCATGCATTGCGTAAACTGAGTTAAATGAGGGGCCAATCACAATGCCACTGAAACCCACTCCAAGCAAATTGCCGATAAAAGCACAAAAAGCGGCTAACGTTCGACCAAAAGTGGTCCGCACAACCCCACTTCTAGTCACATTGTTCCGGATCGCTTCTGCGAAAGAAACACTGCAGCATTTACATGAATGTCCAGGGCCTCCTCAGCAAAATCGCCGAGTTTTATTTGGGCCAGGTAACCAACACTTGCAATCTCATCTTCAGAACCAAAACTTGGGTGCACTCAGAGTTTACGGATGCCGAGATTTCACTTCCGGGAAAGTCATTTTTCCGAAACTATCGTCCCAGCTTGAGTGGTGGTGCTATCAATTACTATTGTAACGACTGACAGATGTCTCAAATGTCACTTGTCGGGACAAAACCCTTCTAAACATCATTCACAAATGCAAAGATTGCTACAAACGTCCACCGGAAGGCCGCCGTGGCGGCCATTTTTGTTGTAAACACCGTTAACGCGTATAGAGGGACAAACAGAAAACAATCAACACTTGATCGCAGATCCGGACAAACGAGTACCCCACCTTGTAGATCAATGAAAAAGCGATCCATCAATAGTGCCTAGAGTGGTATATTCTCAATTATCCCTGAAACTTCTGCCATGACATTTCGGGATAAGTCATCGGACGACCAAGACCAGTGGAACTCATTGTACTTAGCGCTCAGTGTCAAAACCAACCCATACACTAATTACAAATTACTCGCCATCCAAACTCGAAACACTATGGAAGACCCAGACTTAGGCTAATAACACTAGAATCCGCCAATGACATAGAAAACGTTGTTTTTCTCTGCAAACGCGCTAAAACACGCATCCCGTGGGATACGCATCTTTCCTGATGTCCATTAGAGCGTGCGACAATCAAAAAGAAACACAGAACCTTCTTCTAACGATGTTCCAGAGACCGAAAAGCATGAGTTAGAATAGTAGCGATACATTCGTAAATCATTTTCTGTGGATAATATGGTGGCGCTGTCGCTCACCAGGATACCTCTCATCAAACTATAGGGGGTGCGGCCCTAGATTCCTAACACTTGTGCTTCAGTCAGAGCAATAAGCAACGGATGTCTTGTGTCGATGGAGGAGAAATCGGACAACTCTCCTTTCTCAACATCGGTTAAAGGCCGCAGTAGCTTTGCACAGCTCAACTATTAAAACAAACGAAACAGCAAGCTTACCGACATATGTACAGAAGCGTAACTTGACTGCTGTTTTAATTAACTCTGACCTAGGTGTACACAAAGATTGACGCACACTTTGGCAGAAGCAAGTTTCATACGAGGTATCATTATCCCATCAAAAAACGAGTAACGGTCGACCTTCCATCGCTCTGTGGGCTTCTAGTGACCGAGAAACTGGCCTGCTTCTATACGAAGAACCAGGGTCTTTTTAATTAAGTGACCGAACTGGAAGATTATCAATCTTCGTAGCATATGCTGTCATTGGTATAAACAAAACGTGGTTACACACGAGAATGACGGACGCTGAAGCTTCTCTACCGTGCATGTCGCTTGTCCTGAACGATAAGCTCACAAAAGGAGGAGGGGTAATGTTGTTTTATCGAAGAGACTTCCAGTGTCAAGTCGTGACGAATCCAGGCTCGTAGTTCCCCGCGTTCAATTAAAAAACAAGGACGCTAGATTTGTTGTCTTGCTGCACCGCGCAACTAACTGTACATCCGAAAAGGACTGCCACCTAGCGGCTGCTTTAAGACGCAGTTTACGGCGAAAGTACACTCACATATTTATCATGGGTGATTTCAACGTACATTGTGTAGAAAGCCTTGCCATGATCAGAGAACAATTCAAAGCCAGTCCACAAGATCTCGTAAACACTGTTCCTCTTTACAATCACATCACTTTTCCCACCCGGTGCAGTACTGGTAACAAGACATCTGTGCTGAATATTATGCTTACCAACGAGAAACATTTGAGTGATATGTTGATTTTAGATTGCGCGTTGGGTCGCATTGAGCATGCAGTCATCAGTTTCAAATGTGTCTGCAATACGGAGTATGGGAATGAGAAAGATTAGACTGTGCGAATCACCACAAGCTACGATCGATTAGCCCAGCTTGTCAGCGCTACTAATTGGTAGTTCCTGGCCGAAGAACTACCGGAGGTTGC